AACCTAACCTATAATAATATAATAAAATATATACCATACCCTATCATAATATTATTATATTACGGTATTGTGGGACTCAATGGACGCATATAACAATAATGTGTTCTGCAGACGGCTAGCCGCCTAGCCCTTCATATCACTGTCACCGTGACAAATGATTCACAAACCGGCGATGATGTATCAAAAACATTACGTATCTCTCTCCTCCTCTAACAAGGTTCAGTATTTGTGACGTGCATACATGGGATGTACCTACGATCTACCTATTATTATAAACCTCGTGTGCTTGTGTGGCCATAAATAAAGGTACCTACACAATTATAATATATATTATATAATATAATTATATACAGAAAAGTTACTACTTATTCTCAATAAACGAAAATAAACTAAATATAAATAATATTACATGTTTTTTATTTGTGTATAATATGTGCTTTTTCGAATGATAACGATATAGACTCAAATTAGTGCAAACACATGCGTTGATGAAGGTACTTTTTTATTTAGAATTTTCTAAGACACCTAAATAAGTGTTAATAATGAAATAACGTTATAACCAAATTCGGTGAGAAATGTTAACACAAATTGATATTAGATTGTACTTATAATTACAAGTCATAATAAAATGACAAAAACATTTTTTGTTAAGGTATCAAATACATTTTAAGCACTAGATAAGAAATATTGAAATTATTAATACATTTATTTCATTTTATTTCCCTACCATTATATTATATTAAATTATAAATAAAAATCTATAACTATTGACTATTATCACTATAATGTCTAATACTATTACAATTTAAACTCTGCACACAGATTAGTATTTAGTAATTCATATTGAGTGACCTTGAATATTGGTTTAACAATGTTACCTACGTTGATAACTTGATAAACTCATTATTTTTACATCACAATTAAAGTTATCTGACGGTTATGTTGGTATTTTAAATTCATGAAAATTCCAATAAATTAATATATGAGTTGGGATGTACAATTTAATTTTTAGTTTAAGTAATTAAGTCCGTAAAAACCATAAATAACTAGGTACTGTAGTATTTCAATACGGTAATATACATTTTTTAAATTAAAAATGTCTACTTTAGCTCTTAAGGCTATCATGTTATATCACTTTATATCACATACTTATATACTAAAGGTACCTATTTCTAAGAAATCTTAAAAATCGTTAGCTGCAGGGCACTTTTTATAAGCTTTTGATCTGTTTAAATAATTAATAGGTACCTACAGTAATAACAGTTTTCTTTGAACATGTCGTGTATTCAAATTATTACTAATAAGATTCTTATAAACTTCCAAGAAAAAATGTTAGGCCCACAACACTCTGAACTTTGGTCTATACTCTATATCATATTATACCAATTTTTCTTTTAAAATACAACATATTCCAAACATAACCGTATAAACAAAACATTTAATCATTAAACTTTAAAGTTATAATATTATGAAAGTAATCCAACGAGAAATGTGATTTACAATAAAACAAGAATTGTTCCAATTTTGTGGTTATAATAAATTAACCATAATACTTAATATAGAACATACATTTTTAAAAATATTATATTAACAGTAATAAATTATTTATAGTAAATTTCCTAAAATTCACTATGTTTTTATGACATAGTAATTACAGGTATACTCGCATATACCTAATAATATTATAATTCATAAATGAAATAATCAATAGTTATCACACAATATCAATGAATTAAAGTTCTTTATAAACCTGAATGAATAACGTATTCTGGCACTCAAAATAGACTTCGTGATAATATTCCCTTGCATCTCAAAAAAATACGAGTGTATTGCATTTACCCAAATTGTGATAAGTCACGATTCGAACTGCATCCCTTGTTCTTTCTACAAGTGGAGCATAGAAGATCGAGCACATTGATAATTTTACGAGCTCTTATTACACTATTCGGTGTAAGTGTCGCCTATACAATAAGTTATCGGTAGGTTTTTCGTAAACTCCCGCCCGGCACCCACATTGTGGCATGGATATAACTTGATTTAAGGTTAGTTGATCCCAGTGTCGACGTTTGCAATATATTATATGCATACATTTCCACTTGAGTAATCCCCGAGATCTGCGTATTTAGATACCTAGGTGAGCTAGTGCATGTATCCATACCGATTTCTTTTGTCTCTTTCTCGATCTCTTTATCCCCGATATAACGTGCAAAATTTATCTTTTTTCCGATTACGATTTTATTTTGACCCGAACAAATGAACAACCCCTTGCAAAAGTGTACGGCGGCGTCGTCGGGGTTTGGTTTTGAATAATTCACGCGGCGTTTTACTGTACGGCGACTGGTCGTGAATAAAGATTACCGAGGTTTATCACGCAATTTATTATACAAGTATTACCGGAACGATCATAACTGTATTGTTTTCTTTAAATTATTATTATTATTACTATTACTACTATTATTATTATTATTATTTATATTTTGAGGTTAGATAATATTATGTGTGTGAAGAACGGATGTACTGTACCGCCCACGCTGGAGGCACGCAGTCTCGATGCGACTGCCAATGACCGAATAGCGTTAGCCCCGCCGCCGGGTGGGTACCGTACGAATTACACCCCCTTTTCTCGTGTCTATATAGCTCCTATATATTATAACGGCCCCTAGGGCCTCCAAAGAATTATAGCTGCTAAATTACCCTTCTTCTTTTTTCCCGTCAAAATATATTTTCCCCGTTCGTTTCTACAAAATATACATAATAATCACTAAGTATACATAACTATGTAACGAATGACGATTGCCTACCAGAAAACTATTACAGTGTTATACACAAATATAGGTATATAATCAAGCATATGTACTATGTATACCTATATAATAACTAAATCAAAATTCAGAACTGCCAATTGGTAAGATTAAAGTAATTTGAAAATATATTATTTGGTATAATAATGCTGATTAAAGTAAACCTTTTCGCAAAACCAAAATTTATTTTTTTAATACGATTTTAAATATTTATTCTTTTGTAAAAAATTCGTGATTCCCGTAAAACATCTTAATAAACTAAAATGTGCATTTAGTAATTTATTTGGTTATGTATACTTAGATCCATAACATAATTATTGTAAATTATTATTTACAAAATTCATTTATCCTTTTATTTTTCCACTTACCTTCATTTCACACAAAAATTAAAGTTTAAAACAACTGCTAGTGACAGACAACACTTATACAGTTATACATCGTTGTAAACTAATAAGAATAGTGAAAAGTAAAATGTTTACTTAAAAGTCTATTATGATGCTTAAACAAAAACTGTTCATATTATTATTATGTATTTTATAATATTATATATTTATATATAATATGAATGAGATAAATTCAAAATTTACCAACATTCTAATCATTGTTTTGAAATAGAAGTTATTTCGATATGTGGTGCTATTTAGTTTTTAATAAATTATAGAGAGAAAAAAATTTTCAATTTCGGTTACACTTTATTAAATTAATATTAGTTGACAATTTACAAAACTTAATGTACTGACCACAGTGGTGAAAAATACTAAAAATTAAAATATACATCAATACAATGCACCTCAAAAAGAATATTAAAAAATTAAAAAAAATTTTTTTTTTTAAATATAGAAATGAACAATAAATATCAATTGATTGATAGATAAAACAATATATTCATTACCTGCCTACTATTAAAAATTATTTTAATCTCGATGACATATTATACAACAAAAACGTCGAGGAAAGGGTATAAATAGTCTATTATATCGTGTTATAACTTATATTATAGTATTTGTGTACGAGTATATCAATTATACGAGTGTCGGGTATTCGTGCATCCGTTATATAAATTACGGTAAATAATTATTCTGGAAACATAATTTACGGTAAAATGTCGACCCATAATTTTTCATATTAATATCAGTAATATTATGATAGGTATTTATTTAGTCGTATTTTTAAAACCAAATAATTAGTAATAAAATGGAAACATTACAATTTTGAATTTTGTGGGTTGATAATGAAACAAAAAATTACATTTTCCAATAAAAAAACAAATATTTTATTCATAAAATACTTGAGGTATACATGGTAAAACCATTATTCGTTAAAATAATTAAATCTCTAAGTGTAACCATATTAATGTTTTCTATAAATATAATATAGTTATTTTAATATTATTTTAAAGATAATTAAATATGTAATTAATTATTTAGTAATAATCAATCACAAATTTATACCTATCGGTATTTATTTATAAATTATAATTTAATTTAGGTACTATTTTGTCATTAAAATAAAACTATATATTGCTGATTATTGCACTTCCAGCAATTATTGGAAACTGTAATCAATAGTACACAACATTATATATTAAACTAATTTCTCCATACATATAATAATACTCACTTATAGTAAGTACCAATTTCAATTAGCATTTTATTATTTTTTAACAAACCTGCATAGTAATATTATAATTTTTAAGATGTCGGGAAAGGGACCACACGACAATGATGTACCTAAATAGCCTATTTAGAACGCCGTGTGATCATAATAATTGTATTATTTTTACTTAATTCTAAAAACCCAATTTTTTATGAATATAAATGTTATATTTTTTTAGTGTGAATTTATACAGCTGACGTGATAAATTTGAACGAATTTCCCAACTTAGAATGCCATTACAAACGTTTACTAAGTATAATATGTATAAATATTGTAATGTAAGTATATAATATAACCAATAGAAAAAAACTGGTAAGCTTACATAGTGAGTTACAGGAAACTAACGGAATCTACTTGCATTAGTTGCATTCAATGGCATTACATACTATTTATTGCAAATCATTGTCCAGTTAATTTAATAACTTGTATTCATTTTATATTTGACCTTTAGAAATTGAAATGTGTGACATAATTATTTTTAAAATATAATAAAATTAACAGAATAAAAGTTGCTTTTAGGTTTATGATTGGTGGCTTCATGATATGTATCTGTGCAACCAATCTTCGTTGCCAGTTAATTCCAATCCCGGAATGGTATTTCCACCACTACCAAATCTATCGGCAGAGACTCAGATGGCCAAATTTTCAGCTAGATTTGTAGTTGAAATGATGAATTTCAAACGTATATTGGACAAGTAAATATTGTTTTCATAATACCTAATATAGATTTAAATAGAATAATGAAATACCTAATTTTATTGTCAATTTACTTATAAAACATACATTTTGTGTAGACGAGAACTGCCTGTGGAAAAAGCTGCATCCAGAGAAAAAGGACAACCGTTATGCATGGCACAGTATTATAGACTAATGAAATCATATAGGGAACCAGGATTAGTTAAGGATCGACTCGTCGACTTCGAATCTGATTTGACATTATCAAGACCTCACATTATAGTTGCTTGCAAGTCACAGGTATGTCGTATTGTTGTCTAAAGTAAAACATAGTTTTTGTTTACTAAGTGAGTGCTTAATTGTCTTAAGTTTTATGTGTTGCGATTAACTTCGGGCGAAGATGCAACTCCCATAACTGAAGAAGAAATTGTGACAAAACTACTGAACATTATAATGGACGCTAAAAAAACCGCTGGCACTGCGGGTACATATTCAGTGGGCATTTTAACATCGCAAAAAAGGGACGACTGGGCGCATAGCAGGGAGCTGTTGATGAAAAGTGCTTCTAATCGCAATAATTTGGCATTGATTGAGCGTTGTTTATTTTTCATAAATTACGATTTGGAACCACTTGGTCTGGAATTTAATTCCACGTGTAAAGTAGGTGCAAAAGGCTATAGACTATCGAATGACAGAGACGAGACAAACATGATGCATCAAATGATCCACGGTGGAGGTAGTGAGTACAGTTCTGGCAACCGCTGGTTTGACAAGACTATACAAGTAAAAAATACATAATAATAACTTATACAATTAAAAATATTTATTTTTGTAAAAACTTTTGTTTATACAGTTGGTCATTGGAAGAGACGGTGCAAATGGATTATGTTACGAACATTCACCGTCTGAAGGAATTGCAGTTATTGAATTAATGGAAAAATTGATTAAAAGTACCAAAGACTTGAACGAACAATCAATAGATATAATGACATCAACAGAAAAACCAGAAAAACTCATATGGAGTGTTAATAATGAACTCATAAAACACATAGCTGATGCTTCTACTGTTTTGGACAAGTATGATATTATTATTTTATGAAGTTGACTATTATTATATACGTCTTCCACAGTAAAATAAAATAATATATGGGGGACGAGGTGGCCGAGCGGTCTAACGCGTCGACTGCGGCGCTGGCAGTCGCGGGTTCGACTCTCGGCCACTGGGCGGCATTTTTCTCCGGGCAAGTCACGGTGTCCGGAGTACAAATGCCGCCATCCCCCACCCCGGGGCATGGCAGAAACCTACGGGTGCCCCAATAAAAATTCTGCCACCACAAACACACTCGTGTACCAACCTACCCAATCTAAAAACCTACAGTTCCCTCCACACACCCAATGGCCCATGTTGCCGCGGGTTATCCAATAAAAAAAAAAAAAAAAAAAAAAAATATATTATTTTAAGACCCATGTTTAAATTCGTAGAACTATACTTATATACACATTCAATATATTAATATGGTAATAACTATATCTGGACTCATTTTTTTTTTGCATAGAAATATAGGGGCTGTATATAAAAGTTTCTGAGCACTATAAATATAATTCAATATTTAAAAATAAATAAATAATCACAAAAAAAATAAAAAATAAATAAATATTGTGAGACTTATACTTTTTTCACTTCGTATCGCTCAATATTTCAAATGTCCCTATGCAGGTATGAGCCTGTTGCGAGCATATTTTTAAATTTCTGCTGACAATAAATTTTTTTTTTTTTTATTGATCTTTAAGCTTTGAGGTTGGTAACCTGTAGGTAGGTAAACACGTGTGTTTGATTTTGGCATAATATCAAATTGGGCACCCGTAGGTTACTGCCATGTCCAGTCGGGGGATGGCGGCCTTTCTCTCTCTATACTCTTTTTCACGAGAGAAAGGTAGCGGCGGCCGACCAAAACGGGTCCGCCGCCGCGCATCCCCCACCAACTATCAGTGGTAAGCGTGATCACGTGGTCGTTCACGCACCAATCGAATCATTTTACATGCGCGAAACGGTACCGTTCTCTCGTGAAATAGAGTATAGAGTTCTAGACAGTTGCCTGCCCAGAGAGAAAAGCCATCCGTGGTCGAGATTCGAAACCGACGCCGTAGTCCCCTCGGCCACTCCACCCTCCCTATTAAATTATTAATTATTAAACAAATCAGTATTTTCAGTAGGGACTGTTCAGAAGACAGAAACAAATAATATTATATTCTGTTTCGTGTCGGGTATGATTGTTATCAAAAACTATCGACTATTGGAATGAAATAATTATTAAATAATGAAAATGGTGCATACCTGCAAAATATGTTATAAATGTTAAATTTATTAAAAAGTATTATTTCGAACAATATTCTAACAAGCATTTATATATAGTGCTTATTTTATTAATTTACTAATTAATAATAATAATATATAACAGACTATGTTGTATATGTTATATATATAGAATTAAAAATAAGCTTTTTTACTACAAATGATTAAAATTTAATACGTTTTTGATATTTGTTTACTAAATATTTAGACTAGTCAAAGATTTAAACTTCCATGTATTCCGATTCACTCAATACGGAAAAGAATTCATAAAATCTTGTAAGATCAGTCCAGATGTCTACATACAACTTGCAATGCAATTAGCATATCATAAGTAAGTATATAACAGCAAACAGCTTTTCAACTATACACCGTAATTTCGGCTAATAAAATTGTAAAACTATTTTTCATTTTCGAAATCATAACAAACAATAGACTTGTGCTCACTTGTTTATTTAAAATATTAATTTTATCAAATCATAAAGATATAAAATGATTAAACTGTAAAATTGTGGTAATCTCTATATTTAATTAATCATCCACCTTGCGGTCGATTCTATGTTCACAGGCTGCACGGTAAACTGGTGGCTACGTATGAGAGCGCCTCCACCAGACGTTTCCGATTGGGTAGAGTGGATTGTATACGGGCGGCGACTGTGGAAGCACTGGAATGGGCCAAGGCAATGAATCAGTCTGCCGTCACCGAAACTGGCATATTAGGCACAAAGAAGATATACTATACAGTGACTGATGTAATAATAATCTACTGAAACGCTGCAGTGCCGGGTGTTATCTGTATGAGTATATGTGGGTTGGTGAGAGGTTATCGAGGAGAAAGAAGTGGGGGTAAAAATAGAGAAGGACTTTCTTCTGGTGACATTACCACCAAATATCAAACTTCATACAAGTAAAACCGTAGTAATATAACTAATACAACACTAATAAAGGGTAAAGTTAGATACCGTACGGTTCAATATCATGAGTAATAAATTCAAATTTTAAAATACCCCTACAATGCAAATGTATTTATTATTTTTAAACGCATAAACATTTACATAAGTAATAAAACTAAATATTTCATAATTATTATCAATATCAATAATTAGTATAAACATACCAGCTATTAATTATTAATAAATTAATTTATGCTAACATTTTAATAAAAAAAATAATAATATATAGCTAACCGATGTTCAATTTTAATATGTACATTGTACACTATACTATTTGAATAGCTATATTTACATTTAGTAATTTACCTTACCTTCATTTCATAAAATATATTTTTATTTATTTATTTTATTTCACATTTTAAAAGGTAAGACTATATTTTTACTAGTCATAATAAAACAGTAACTATTAACATTAGTATTAATATAATTATATGATTATATGAATGTATTTTCTTATTAAATAAGCCCCAAGTTTGCTTAAAGAGAAGAGTACCTACCTAATCAACTCATATAAGAAACTTTACATAAACTTATATGCATTGCACTGCTTATGTTACCTATATAAATAGAGTTAAAATAAATTATTATTATTAAATAGAAGTATAATAAAAAAAGGTGGGCAAGTGGGTGTCGCTCTGCTGTACAGTAGGTTACAAGTGGGTCACTGTATAATGGATGGTATTAAATTTGAATTCAATGATATAATATCATTGTATAAGAAAAACGATTCTGAGCGGTGATGGTATGTCAGTCTATGTATAAGGCATATTATATACATATCTATGGTATTAAAAAAAATTGACCTATAATGAATTCCAAATTAATCATATCACAATATCCATTAGGTACTTATAACGCGTTATACACCAACAACAAACCCTGATACTATCATGGATATATATAGTAGATTACTTTAGAAATTTCAAGTACCCACGAATAATATTATACAATCACAACAAAATAACTAAAATCGTAATTCTAGGTTTTTTAATATGTAATTTCGTCCAAATTTGAAATTAAAATGTCTGTAAAAAATAAGTGTGTTTATATATTTTTTAGATTTTTTGGTTACAGTATGAATTATTTAAGAGAATCTTTGTTTTAAATTTTCAACTCTTAGTTATAAAAACTGAACATTTTATAATTTTTTAATTCCAACGATTGATTATTTTCGAGATTTTGATAAATTTTGTCAAAATTCCAACTTTAAATGCTTATAAAAAAAAATCGTGCTTATGTATTTTTAAAATTTTTCAACTGATATTGTAACAATATATAAGAAAGCTTGTATTCAATTTTCAGACTTTTTGGCCCACCAAATAAAATTTTATTGACAATTATAAAAAAAAAAACTAAAAAAATTGAAAACTGAAAATGTCCCTAAACAGCTCAAAAAGAGTCAAAATATTTTCAAAATTGTATGGTGTATAGAAAATGCTAATATAAACATTCAGTGAAATTTTCATGTATCTATAGTTGTTCGTTTTTGAATTACAACAAACTAAGGAAATCGCTACATGACAAATCGAGTGAATATCCAATGTTGTAAAAATTTTAATTTCAAACGCTCATAAAAATTTAACTTGACTGTCCGGTAGAGATTTTTTTATTGATAAAGGTAGATAATCTTATAAGGAATCTTGTGTTTCATTTTCAAATCTTAGATTTAAAAAGAAAAATTTTTACGAATTCTTAACTCAAAATAATTTGCTAATTTTCGTGATTTTTCCATATTTTGTCAATTTTTGAACTTTAAATGCTTATAAAAAAAAATTGTGACTAAGGATTTTTAATATTTTTCATCTGCCTTTGAAACAACATGTTAGGAGCCTTCTATTAAATTTTCAAGCTTTCGCAACCAACAAATAAAATTTTATTGATATTTCTAGAAAAAAAACTAAAAAAAAATGAAAAATGAAAATGTCCCTAAACAGTTCAAAATAAATCAAAATATTTTGAAAATGTTATCGTGTATAGAAAATGCAAATATAAACAACCAGTGAAAATTTCATGTATCTAAGATCATTTGTTTTAAAGTTACACCAAAAACCAAATTCGATTTTTTGGAAAATCGATTTTGCGTAAAAATTCCCGTTTTTCCTTAATTTTTATGTTGTTTTTCCCGGCGCTTGTGAAAACTACTGGAAAATGTTTACTTTTGACCCCCCAAAGTACCAACTAGATTCACTTTCCTATCAGAAAAGGTACTATTGAAGAAAATCGAAGCATTTTTACTGTCCCAAAACGTGATGACAGACACAAAAATATAAATAAAAATATAAATAAAAATATAAAAACATACATCATTGTAAAACCAATACATTCATCGCTCCGCTCAGAATCTAAAACATACATCATTGTAAAACCAATACATTCATCGCTCCGCTCAGAATCTAAAATATATTTCATTAACCTAGTTATACAAAACATAATAAAATATTAGAACCCTTGAACAAATGTACTAAGTACTAATCGAGAAAAAGAGGCACAAGAAAAATTGTTTTGTCTATATTCTATAATAACAAAATATATAACTTGTGTTAAGACAAGTACAATATTGTTAATAGTACTAATAATAAGTAATAACTTCAGGGATTTAACTTTCTAGTGGCTTATAGAAACCCAGACTTGGAGTCCAGATTTTCTTTTTTTTAACCAATCCTTGCTTTTTTAATACTATTCTAATATTAGACTTATATCGAACAACGTCCAACTGTCATTTTTCAGTTGTCATTCAACAATAGTACCAGGATTAGGAATTGTCATACAACATAGCTACATAGGAATTATCTCATTCTTGATCAATCGAAAAGCAGAACTGTATAAAAAATTGTTTTACTTAATTTTATTTATTGATTAATGCCTAATGGTATCATTCAACGTTTAATTTTTTGATAATTTAAATGAAGATGATTAAGTTTTTATAAAAAAAATTAAGTGGTAACATAATTCATAACGAGTCATAAGTAATATTTTAAAATGCTATATTTTTTCTCTTATAATTAACCTACGTTGATATTTATACATAAAAAAGCACACAACCTTCAGATTAATTAAGGGAAAGAGTAAAATTGTTCAGGTAATAATGTTTAGGATCGTCGTTTAATGTTGATAACCATGTTTAGAGATAAACCCGGCATTGCATTTATACCATGTGTTCGCAAAAGATGGGTACACTCAGTTGCTTAGATTACTCAGTAATGTCAGTACCCTAAAAATATTTTTGAATTCAGTTTGAGGGACATACAGTCTTGGATCATAAATTCCTATGACTTACAATTGTTTAACTCATGTATTTTGTGCATTCGCAACAACTTTACTTTTTCTGTGTACCTACCCTGTTTTCGTGGACACACGGAATATTTAAAAATACACATACCTATTCCAAAACTAAATTCTGAAAAAAAGCGTTCAGGATTTAGTCAAATATATTGTTTTAAACTTAACTATTGTGCGTGGTATATATTTTAGAACGAAAAACTTCAACTTTTCGAAACTGCAGTAAAAAAACAAACTGACATCATGATAGACAATATTCTCGGTATGGGGATAGACTCTCACTTATTAGGATTGAGACAAGCAGCAAGAGAGAATGCCATATCGTGTCCAGTATTTGAAGACGATTCATTTAGAATTGCCAATCATTTTTCATTATCAACAAGTCAAGTAAATTGTTTTACATTTTTCAGACCTATATATAATATTTCAGTTATAATTTATAATATAATACCTTTAAGTTTTTACCAATATAATTTTATATAATATTATACTTAATATCTACGTGTTCCGTGTAATCGAAGGCGAGAAACATTAATTAATTAAACACCCATTACAATGACAATAATTTATCACACAAAATGTTACTATAATGTACCTACTTCCTACAAATAATAAATGTAAAGCTATTTTTTTTCGCCAAAACTAATTTCTTCCATACATCTCTGTTATAGGATGAGTTCTAACCACATTAGTTTTAGTGGTTAGGTTTTTGAAAAGTGTTCATTATTATGCACGTATCAATAGAGTAACATAAAATTAACTCGCAATCAAATATTATATATTATAGATTTAAAATCTTAAGTTTTAATAATTCGAAACAAATATTATCAAAGTAGCTGATATATTATTTTATAATATTATATTTAGCTAGGAAATTTTCATATTTGAAAATGATTTCCCATGAATTGAAATAAGTAATATTCCTTAAAAAAAATGGGTTATAAATAATTATTACAATACAATAACCAAAATCAATTCTATTAAAATTAGGTGTGCCATACATTTCAATATTTGTTTGCAATTCGTCAGTAGTTAACATCGCTTAGATAACTTACAAACATGAAACACGCCCAATAATATCCTACCTAAATTATATAAAAAAAAAAAAATAATTGCACCTACAACACAAATTAATTTATCGATTCACTCCAGAATCTAAATAATAAAACCAGTTTCATTTTGATGACAACTATTGATTATTGGCGATACCCAACCAACAAAGCATAGGTATTATCTGGTTTTCACCACCTAATTTACTCGTATTTTTTTTGCTTAGTATACTCTACTCGAAAAATGTTAATTATTTTTTAAGAGATACAAATAATATTATTTAACGCAATATAGGCATTATAATATTATGTATCATAAACATAAATTTTACAAATTTTGCAATTTGTTTATTGCCGATACTTTTATGTAGGATACATATTTAAGTCATGTGTTTAGGTTTTATCTAGGTGCATACTATAATCTAATGTACCTATTGTTTTGTGTTTTTATTTATTGTAGCTATTAACTTCGACGGACAGTTTCATGGGCTATGGACCAGTTGTGCCGGATGGCTATGGCGTTTCCTATAATCCCCAAAGCAATTCTTTGATATTCTGTATATCTTCGTTCAAATCATCTAAAACCACAAACAACAATGCTTTTACTGTAGCTCTAGAACAGAGTTTGATGACAATGCAGAAAATGATATACATGAAAAGAAATTAAGTCAACGTTGTTCACATTGTTTGCATCCGTTTTTGGAATTTTCTCGTCTTATCTTTAGTACCATATACATATCTTTGAGTGATAAAATAAGTTCAATATTATATTTGTACAATTGTACTTTACACTTTGAAATTTTTAGTTACCAAACTCTAAACCATTTATCAAATGCATTACAGTGCATTGCGTCGTTATAAATTTATTCATATTCTACCACTTCAAAAACTAACCTAAAGTTTATAAGCACTTGTTATTGTTTTATTTATTTATTTATTTATTTATAATGTTACTGCTTTTTTATAACTTATAACTCTAAAATTTATTTTTATTCGTTACCTATATTAATTATACTGTATCGTTACTACTTGTGGAATCGTGATGTTTAAAGTGATTTTAGGCATGATCGAATTATTAAAAACCAATATTAAAACATAAAATTAAGAACATGGATTCTCATAATGTAGGTATTTAAAAAAACCAATTTATAAATAATTTTTTAAAAACATTTATAGTAATCTGATATAATTTTGTTTTAATATTAAATTGAAAATTATATAATTGTTGACGACTACATGTTTAATATTATTATTTACGTTAAATATTTTACACTATATTCATTATAATATAGTTAATACACTAGTTACCTAGTCATATTATTGCTATTTATCTAATGTTATTTGTTATTTTTTTTTCATATATATATATATATATATTTACTATTTACTACCACTAGCTCAAATAGTTTAGGAGCAATTGTATTCCTGAACAATACCAAGGTTTAATATTTATGATAATATCCACACTGTAGTGATCCACAATTACACTTAAAATATTTACCTTGAGTATTAGATACAGCTATCTTCACATAAAATTATACTTAATATATCAATTAAATATTCTGTAATCATTGAGACTAATATTGTTTTGACTAAGTCTACAAAAAAAAAATATATATCAATTTAAATTAAGTATAGGTATCTTTACAATATCATTCATACTTTCAGTGATTAATTCATAATTATGTTAACTTAATACATATCAATTGTTTGACATTTACATATCATTAACTACATTTTATCACAATAAGGTCATCCCTATAATTAAATAAGAATTACGTTAACTTGTTATACATATAAATTGTTTGAAAATTACATATCATTAATAATTAAATTATATCAGAGTAAGATCATTCCTAAATTTAATCAACAATTTTGTTAACTTGATACATATCAATTGTATGACACTTACATATCATTAGAATTACTTATAATATAATTTATACTATTGGAAATAGTTTTTGTGAAATTTAAATAAGTTATTATTGTTGTTAAGTACCTAGATAAGTATACCTACTTATTATTCACTATTATGTTTAAATGTTATTAAATTTTTATCAAATTACGATTTTAAAAATGTACTACTATAATAATGTTATTTTGTACCATTTACTCTTAAAAAGTAAATCGCACTAAATAATAAATTATGTATAAAATATTTATTCACTCTCTTCGTTGTTATATTACCTATATATTGTTTTTTTAATATTTACAATATACCTCCTAGTTAAGTAGTTAGAATATAATAGTGTTACTATATTGAAATAGTTTATACAATTTGTATGTATAATATCTGTATTCTATATAGACTATATTTATTTATTTGTTATGTGTTCAAACTTTTAAACTTTACCTATGCAATTTATTCTTAGATATCAATGTTTATTATTCGAATGTTTCTTGTTGTTTATACTCTCCGCATACAAAATAATACAATACTTATTGAGTATGTTTCTTTTAATGGGACCGGACTGGCTTTAGGTGGCATAATACATTAGTAGGTATTCAGTGTTAAGATCAGTCGGTTTATAATTTTCTTTTCACAGTGTTCGCACCCATTTAACGATAATACCACATAAATACCCGATATTTCATATACATGAATAATTTACGATTTAGGAGCATAGTACCTACTTATATAGGTAGCTAAGTAATCTATTAATATATAACCTACTTAATAACAATATTTAGGTCTAATGTCTTAATTAATAAACATAATATACCTATTACCAATAATAGTATAGAAACATAACATAGACGATCTCAGACTTTATTTCGGATAGTTAGGTATACATTACAAACAATTGGGCCCTTTCATTCATAAAAAAAGCTAAGTAGGTACCCAATATAATCAAAATTTATTATCATCAAACTATAATTATACTATAATATTTATTCGTATCTTAAAAATAAAAAAATATTAATCAGCTAAAGATTAAGTCCTCTTTTACCGATTTTGAACTTGTTCAATGTCTTTATCCTAGGCCATTTTCCAACTGTATAGGTATGATGCGTTGATCTGTATACGCATCATTGTTATCCAGTCCGATCTTTTTTTGTGCTTAGATAAAAAATCTATTAATACGCTTTAGAATTGTAACTATACAAAAATAAATGATTATAACCAATTAAATAACAATAAAATAATCGTATCAGTCACAAATATATGGAGTTTTTTTTTTCATATAACTTCATAGGTATTCTACATGTCTGATTAAAACAAGCACTTAGGTACTCGTGGTAGTGCTTGAATTAGGTAGAAGAAGTACTGTAAGAGAATTTAGTTTTAATATTTTTTTATTTTAGCACCCGTATAGGTACTAATTGTTTTAAATGGAACACACAGACGTTCTTATAGACAAATTTTCAAGATTCTTTTTATTTTGTACAAAATGTATTGAATATGATACCAAAGTTCAATTTTATCAGTTGTATAACTTATTATTATTATAATTTATAGTACATATAGCAATAATGGAATATAGTTAATTTTAATTTAAAAATATATAAATTAATGAACACTTAATTAACTTAAATTATCTTTAATATGAATCAATAAGTAATCAGTAATGACTATTATTGTTCAAAACATTTAAATTGAGTCATTCATAATAGTAGTAATTACTAGTTAATTATAGTAATATTATTTGTTTACGGATTCAAACCACTCCACACCAAATAGGTTCTGTTCAATAATTTCAAACAATGCCATATTTTTCAACGCCAAGGTCGACCTTTTAGATTCTGAGTGAAACGATGAATGTAGGTATTGATTTTACAATGATGTGTGTTTTTTTTATTTTTTGCGTGTCATCACCTTTTAGGACAGTAAAAATGCTTGGATTTTCTTCAACAGTAACCTTTCTGATAGGAAAGTGAATCTAGTTGGTACTTTGGGGGATCAATAGTAAAAATGTCCCAGTAGCTTTCAAAACGTCGTCAAAAACAAGAGAAAAATTAAGGAAAAACGGGAATTTTTACGCAAAATCTGTTTTCGAGAATACGATTTGGTTTTTGGTGCAACTCTTAAACAAATGACCGTAGGTACATGCAATTTTTACTGAATGTTTCTATTAACATTTCCTAACAACATAACATTTTACTAATATTTTGACTTATTTTGAACATTACGGACATTTTCAGTTTCCAATTTTTTCAGTTTTTTTTTTCTATGAATGTCAATAAAACTTTATTTGTTGGATAAAAAAGCTTGAAAATTTAATACAAGGCTCCTACTATATTGTTACAATAGCAGTTGAAATATCTTAAAAATCCTTAGTCACAATTTTTTTTTATAAGCATTTAAAGTTCAAATTTGACAAAATATGGAAAAATCACGAAAATTAGAAAAATTATTTTGAGTTGAGAATACATAAAAATGTTTCTTTTTAAATCTAAGATTTGAAAATGAAATACAATATTACTCATAAGTTTATCTACCTTTTTCAAAAATAAATGTCTACCGGAAAGTGAAATTAAATTTTTATGAGCATTTTAAATTCATATTTTTACAAAATTTGTTATTCACTTGATTTCTCATGTAACGGTTTTCTTATTTTGATATAATTCAAAAACGAATGACTCTAGATACATGCAAATTTCATTGAATGTTTATTTTATCAATTCTTATACTTGATAAAATTTTCAAAATAGTTTGAAGCTTTTTGTGCTGTTTACGGGCATTGTCAGTTTTCAATTTTTTTTATTTTTTTTTCTATGAATATAAATAAAGTTTTATCTGTTGGGCCAAAAAGTGTATAAATTTAGTACAAGGCTCCGGATATATTGATACAATAGCTAATAGCAGTTGAAAAATATTAAAAATACATAGTCACAATTTTTTTTATAAGCATTTAAAAGTGTTGTTGTTATTTGTTTTTGGTCATTGTTGTACCAAGCGCAAAATCATATCTATGTTAAAAATTAAGAAAAAAGATCAACTCAATACCATATCCATAATAATTATATAATTTATATTGTGGGATAAGCTCTGAGAGATCATTTTGACGTTAATTAGTTGGTGTGACGATGGTGTTTGGACTTTAGGTGTGTACCTATTGTGCATAGAGATTAGCTGATATACAGAAACAAAGAGTGCAAAATTTCAAGTAGTACCTACTAAAAAAAACACATATACCTGACTATTATTATTGTGGTTAATTTGGTTTTTTATTGAGGCACTTAGTTTTAATTCATCAAAATTATAAAAATCTGCACATTTTTTCTTTTGTATTCCAAGCCCTCATTAATATTGTTTATCGTTCGTATTGCTGCAGTAGAAAAATACAATACAAAATAAAGCAATATACTTTATTACTTGAGATAAAAAATTAAATAATAAATAATATATTTAGTAGGTATACAAGAAAAATAAATTATTAAATAATACTTTTACAATGACGTTGATACAAAGTTGTTAGACATTAGTCCTATTTACTAATGTCTTATTTTATTATATATATTATAGCTAATCAAAGTCACAATATTTATTTGAATTTGATAATTTTACATTTTTCAAGAGAAATAAACACTTAATTTGAAAATGTATTTTCACAACAAAAGTGTTTATCAGTTAAGTTCCATTGTATATTTGGAATTGTAAACAACACATAAATTAAAAAAAGATTTACCTAATTACGTTAGTAACATATTTAGTTAGTTAAAAATGATCGATGAAACTGTGTATTTGGATAGGTGTAAATATTTTAAATTACACTAGAATCGAAATCATTTTTTGTAATTCATTAATCGTTATTCATTATTTAATGACAAATGAATCGATATGACCTAACTGTCTAGATAAGTTAAAAACTCTTTTGACAATATAATATAATCGTATTATTATTATATTTTACTACTTCCTGAATCAGTTTCTAATATTCAGAGACGTTAAGATTTGTGATAATATTATGGTGAATATATTTTATAATATAGCGCTCTCGAATGACGCTTTTCCTGATGAAAAATGTCAATTGCGCTGTTTTCGTTGAACGTTTACTTGTTGACGCCTCGTCGGTTGTACGGCCGGTTGCACAGCTGGTAGTACAGCCGGTTGAACAGCTGGTTGTATCACCGGTTGCTGTTGGTACCTGATGCTGTCCAACTGTGCGGCATTCACATACCAAAATGGTTGCTTGTCTCTGGGATACTGGCTTGATATTCTGTCAACCAGTTCTTTTTCCACGTTGTATATAGGCTGCTTTTCCGAACCCAGGAATGGGTCAGGCGTGGAGTTTTCTCCAATTCTGTTTCCCACATCTGAATTACTTGGTGGTAGATTTTGGGGTAAGACGCTTGGATACTGATTATTGCTGGATGCATAAAACGGCTTTTGGGCACATATGCAAGTTAATGCTGCAAAAACTATTGACAGACGTAGTACACTCTGAAAATTTTTTAAAAACAACTATATAAATATACCGTATAAGGTAGGTCCTAACAGGACTAGTTAGGGTCAGGAGTATTAAAGTCAGACAACTTTTATTTAACTGAATTATTGTATTTGTCCCTGCATCGACCCTAGCCCAAAGTACGCATTATCATTTTCAATTGAAATAGTTAAAATATATGTCATGAACTAAGCAATGTTTTTATTACTGTCTCCAGTATAATATTATAACATAATACTGGTGCTATAGGTTTTCAAAACAGCTAAAACAAGTACCTACTACCTACCTACATATTTTATACAATTATTGCTTATCTATTTAAATCTTTGAGATATGCTATAACTGTACTGGTGATACAGACCACGGAAATAATAAGAGTGTAAGACAAATTCGCGTCTGCTAAAATCATATGGTAATAAATTACTATAACAGAAATTATAACCGGTTCGACAACAAATACCAACATTACTGAGTATTTTATACAGAGTATCTATACAGGGTGATTCTTTTATCATTGAACACTCATTATTTCAAAAAGTATTAATGTTTAAGAAAATATTTTTTTACATAGTTTCAAGTTGTTAAAAAACAATATTTTTATTAAAAAATTATATTTTTAAATATTTTTTATCCTTTTATTTTTTTAAGTTTTTTACTTTTTTGAATGACAACATGTAATTTTTATTTGATATTCAAAAACAGAATATTTTTCTGAGTATTTCGATACATAAAAATTGAATTTAGGGCAATTAGTTTATGAGTTATAAGTATTTAAAGTTTAGATGAGCGGAGTAGAGTGGTACGGGGTTACCCCGCGAAATGTTTGTCCACTACTCCGCTCATCTAAACTTTAAATACTTATAACTCATAAACTACTTGCCCTAAATTCAATTTTTATGTATTAAAATACTCAGAAAAATATTCTGTTTTTGAATATCAAATAAAAATTACATGTTGTCATTCAAAAAAGTAAAAAACTTAAAAAATTAAAAGGATAAAAAATATTTAAAAATATAATTTTTTAATAAAAATATTGTTTTTTAACAACTTGAAACTATGTAAAAAAATATTTTCTTAAACATTAATACTTTTTGAAATAATGAGTGTTCAATGATAAAAATATCACCCTGTATAGGTACCTATGTACTTGCATCGTACATCGCATATTATGTTGACCCTATAATGATGACCCGTTCAAGTGCGTCCCAATATTCACACAACTACTATAATAACGTTATCCAAGGTCACTACGAGGAAGCGAACTGAGCTAAACCCAAATTGTTTTTTATGGATCATTATAATTTCTTCTTCATATTATGTTATATTTTACATATTGCAAATAAATGTTTGGATGATTTTTTAAAAGTTATCATTATCCTTCAAAACTGTAACTAATGTAGGTATTACAACTGAAAAGTGCCAAATTGATTATTTCAACATTTGAACCTTTTTTTTTTTGTTTGTTTGTTATCTATACAAAATTAAGCTGGAAATCAAAATGTAATGTGCCTATATAAAAATAGTATACTATATAATTAATTGTTTGTTTATTTTTATAGCCCATGATGTTATAGGCCAGTGCAACTCAGACCGGCTAATTCTAATAAATGACTAATGACTATATTATAATGAGATTCAATATATGGAAATCGGACGGTTTTATTAAGTATTTTTTTTTTCGTTAAATTCGAATTCAGCAGTAAGGACGAGCATACAATAGACTAAAAAATAAAAGTGCTGCTCTACATTTCAATATTTATCTCCACAAACATTGAGCTGCATTATATAATGTCGTAATGTCGTATACGATAGTACATATTCAAAATTAATTTCTTCATCTGATAACTGTATTTATTATTGTTTTGTAATATTCATTAAATTGGTACTTATTTGAAAATGAATCATAACTGATAAATAACAATTTAAAAACAACATTTGCCTAATTAAAATACTAACCTTTGAATCTCTTAGATAAATTATAATTGTTTAGGTTTATCAAATGGTTAGGTATATCAAATGGTATGGTCAGTAATTGGGCCACACTATTTGTTTATATTTTATTAGGGACCTGGGGACTGGGCCATAAATATATAACACAAAAATATAAGAATATGTTATAACATTTTATTAATTACAGTAAGTAGGTACCTCCCTATATAGTTTTAACATTTTTTTTTTTTTTGAATAAAATATATAAAAATATAGGTACCTAGTTACATAAAATTAATCAAATTATTATTTTTTTTTTTTAATTACTTAAAAATACAATTATTATTCTTAATAATGCGTTACAAATTTTACAAATTCAAATCTATTGTTTTCACTCCTTTGTATTTTTAATTTTATTAAGAATATAACTCTTTCGAATTAAAATTCAATTTCTGACTTTATTTGTACCTACCTACGCTTCTAATTGTAATATAAACTTCTAGTTTTCAACTACTGCTTAAAAGATTTAATAATAAAAATCGTTTAAAATAGTGACCCAAATGCCCTATAGGGGGCGCACACGAATTGCGTACCAAAACAGGTAAATGAACCCTTTTTGAACTTACACATATTATTTAGTGGTTCCCAGTGGTTTCAACATTTATTATTTTTAACAAAAATAATAATAATAAATTAAAAAATGATCAGTATTTAATGTTTTTTTGACTCTCGATCCTCTCCCAAACAAACAAATGTTTAGGAACTTTTAAACCGATACTATAATATTGATAAGAAGTCTAGAAAAACTTTGAGTAGCCAGAAAACTAATATGAGAAAGAATACTATTTATAGAAAATAAATAAATCAGCTAAATAATAATTGTGGTTATGATTTATCATTTATATTATGATATTATGTTTCTACGATTACAATTTTTTTTCTTATAAATATGTGATTATAATTTATGAGTTGTATTTTGCTTGACCTACCTATATTATGGCAATATCACATTAGAAACTTATAATTATTAATGTAGGTGAAAAAATAACATGAATTGCGTCCGGAACGCAATTCGTTTAAAATGGTTTGTTAAATTTTTGGTAAAATCCCGAGGGCTTGAATCCCAGGTACCCATCAAAACATTTCACCCATTCACCCTAGAGTTTACAATGGTTGGTATTATTTTTATTTAAAATAACGACAATTCAATGTATTCAATTTATTAATATTCCTTTCTTAACTTAACTGAATCGAATATGATAATATTGAACATTTACAGCTATATTGTAGCTATATGTATTATTTAAAATAAAAAATATATTTACCATTTTTCTGCAGATTGCCTCAGAAAATCCTCCAAATGAGCAATGAATATTTAAGTATTGTATGTCGATTTTTGAAAATATCGGGAAATTATTATAGGTACACTTCTTCAATGCAGCAACTGTCTACTGCGACGCGACGTAAGTAATGCTAATCGGTAAACATTGACCACTGACGGGTTTTAAGAATTTGTGAACTGATGTCTAGCAAACAGAATATTTTATACGTTATTATTTTCTGGAATGGTAGGTAGGCAGGTGGGTAGGTCTCAAATCCCCTCCTATACGTTTATCGAGTTATAAATCCAGTACCTAGGTATATACCTACTGTATAATATAACAGTTGGGTGATCTTCACTCGTCAATAAACACGGCGCATTAAACACAAATACCTGATTAAAATAAATTATATAGGTACTGTTATTACGATTTATGTTTATGGACATGGAAAACGTCATAGGAAAAACATAATAGTAATGCTTCCCCGCTTAACCAATTGTTTAAAAATAATAAAAAAATATTTACGAGATAAATATATTTTGGTATACTGCGACGTGTATTTATTTATTATCTAAACACATAAATTGACTATTTTGATAATATAAATTAACCATCCGTAAATGAGGTGATTTAAACTTATTTCTTCTGAGAACGTGTCCTATCCCTTACCTTGTTTCCACATTCCACCCAAATCTGTATATTATTATAAGTCTGTTATAAGTCTAAAAAATAAAAAAGACAAAACTATTTTTCAAAATTACTATTAGTACAAAACAATATAAGTAACACATTGCTATTAATTATTATTCTCTGGAAAAATATTACTATTAATTATATAAAAATATCAATTATAATCTAATAGTTTATAAATTATTTAATAATACCTATTAAAAAACAATATTCCTGAATTCTAAAATTTCTGGAGAACCTGAGTCCAGAGCTCATATATTATCATCTATAATATAATATACCTAACACAGATACAAATGACACAATAATATACAATAGTGTTATTTATAGTATAATAATTAAAACTGCAATCAAATAATTAACAGCAAATGATAAAATTATTTTATATAAAATAATATGTATTTGAGAAAATAAATATATATTATAGTATTTTAATTAATTAGGCACTTGAAATTATTGATATTATGCAAATTAGTCTATTGCTTAATGCTTAAATACTGTAATTAAATAGATAGGTACCTAATTAAATTATTTTGAAAAATAAACTCACTAACTAATATTTGGCCAATTTGAATATTACGCTTTTAATCAAGCAATAAAATTATTGTAGAATTGTGATAAGTTAGGTTAAATAGGTGAACTGTGAAGCCACAGGGCGTGTAGGGTATGCAGCTGAATCATGCACTAATATTTGATAAAGAGAAAACAATAATTATTATATAGTCAATTTAATTAAATATAGTTACATATATTTGGTTCTAATTTGATTGTGGTTCTCAAAATTATTTCCTTAACCGAAAATGTCGTTAAATGGAAGTTCATCATACACTTATACGGAAGTTTCATTATATTTCCTAGTTTGAAAATTATGCTCAAGTATTTAAAATTTTAAGTGTTTGAAGCTTCCAGACTTAAATTCTAACGAGTTAATAATGAAAAAAGTTATATATTTTTTTTTTTGCAATAATGTATTAATAAGTTGTAAGTAAATACAAATGCATGGATATGGTGATGAAAGCGGCGAGGAGGAAAAACTCCACAAATTGTGGGAAGATTAATGATTAAGATTGTATACCTAAATACTCAGAATACAACTTCTAGATCTGTCTATGTTACAGGTTAGTTAATAGTTGGATTAGAAATACTTCAGTTTGTTTTACAAACTTATTCAAATTTAGAAAATTGACTAAGAGTAATAAACCTATCATTAAAAGACATAAGATTTATATGCATGTATTATTTATATGTATATTATATTATATATAATTATTATAATATAGGTAGGTATGTAATGCGTTATGCGTATATGAATGTATACTAGGTACTAATGTACTATATTATATCAAGCACGATATATTTGTATACTTTTAGAAAGATAAACTTAACACCAGTTTTGTAAAGAATACATTTAACAGAGTACAAGAAAAACTATTGTTTATAATTGGTATTAATGTGCCCGATATTTTATAGACAAATTTGGTTTATCACAAATATAAAATATTTTTTGAGTTCAAAAATTATTTTTCATTGAATAAAAAAACACAAAAAAAACTATTCTGAGTACGTAGGTATTCGAATATTTTTTTCAAAAAGTATTTAATATAGCATTCGAATAAAAAAAAGTATTTAAATACTTTTATTTGAATAAATTTATTTGAATACTTTACAAGACTGCCTAGAACTTCAGAAAAGGTGATTAAACATTTATTAATCATAGTTCAATTAATTTTGTAATATATATAAAAAAAGTTGATTCAATTTCTACAGAAATTCGAACGTATAATGAGTAACGAAAACAAATATGAAATAATAATTGATTCACGTCATGTATATTATTAAATAGTTAAGTAGAATTTGTACGGGAATAATCATACTCATAGACCATAGTTCATATATTTATGTAAATAATTTGTAATACAGCGATGCAAAAAGTTCCATGTTTTTCCAATGACGTAATAGTAATATGATCGTGATCTTGAGGTAGGCGAGTACAAACTTCAAATATCATGAATTTGAATTTATTAAAATGTAAACATATATATACGTGACGAGCCACCATACCTTATGGCTATATTTAATACAAAAATGGAATGGACATTTTGATTATATGCTCAGAATGCAAATTTGTGATTATTATTAAAAACAAAAACAGATAATATCTACAATAATTTATGCCCCCAGTTATTTCGATATTTGTTTATATATAAATATGAATATTTATTCCTAAGTTCCCGTTATATGGTTTACAAGGAAAGTAATTATTAAGGTAATATTTATTTTAACGTTGGTTGTTTAAAAAAAAAAAAACATAATATACTTACATAAACAATATTATACAGGTAATATAGGTACTACGACTGTTGAACTGTAGTTTGTCTGTGTAATAGAATGTATCAGTACAGTTACATACACCGGTAAAACCTAGGTTCAGGCATCTGATCTTGGTGAATATGGGAATCCCACACTTTTACCAAATGGCCTAGAATTTGAAGTCAAAACTCGAAATCGTCTTATTATGAATAATAAATTTCTTATGAAAAAGTGATGGTGATTGATAAATCTTAAGATATTATTATTATTATACAAAAGGGAAACTGTTATTAAGATAAACATCTGAATGTTAAATAGGTACTAAAAACAGAGTGTTAGGAAGTATTAAGATTAACTGGTTTCCATTCACTAAACTTTCTGAAAGATATAGAGTTGAATAATATGAATCGTATACAATGTATCAGGTAGGTTAACATTTTATTAAATAGGTATTTTTTATTGATAAACAATGATACATTTTAGTATTTTGAAAATAATTCCAAGCTTAACTCCGATTATTAATTAACCCCCTTCGAAAATTGTTAAATGAAAACAACGATATCATTAATAAATTATTTTCAGATGAAATTCGTCAAAAATGAATTATAAACATAGACCTATATTAACTAGTTAATAAGTCTATGATTATAATCCCACACAAAAAAAAATTCTGTATACGCCACTGAGTAGCACAGTGAATAGTTTTATTAATATCTTATAGTTGCAAGACAATTTTAATTTATTATAATTTTTTCTCAAAACTTATACAATACTATTATATTAAAATATATACCTTATAATGAGTAATGACCACAGACCACTAAAATTATCATAGACCTATAAACTAACTTAGTACCTATAAGATATATACTAGTATACTACGCTATAGATAAGTAACTCCCGCCTTCAGTTGAAGCTTGAAGATCGGTTGGCTAATGTATGGTATTGTATATGGTAAATAAGATTAATTATGATTTATGTTGTATTGTATTTTATTATTTCCATACTGTCCTTTTGTTTAAAAAAAAATAAATATTTTACATTTATTGTTTTATTTTAAAATTACAACCGATGTTATTCCTAAAACAATTTGTACAATAAATGAAATGTTTTGCCAACCGACAAAATAGTGGCCGTCGCCTCATCAGCTTCATGGATAACAATGTAAGTTATAAGGAGTTACTTTTCTAGTGCTGTATAGAATTCTATGGTAATATGACTAATAATAATACTGTGGGTGAAATAATGGCCATCTTGGATATTTAAAAAACTTATTTGCCTAAAAAAATGTTTGATAATTTTTGATTTTTTTTAAAAAAAAACGAATATTATGATATTCAATCAGAATTTACATACTTATTTTACTGTAAAAAGAACTGCATTTAAATATACTGATTTTCCATTGAGATACTATAAGGGTGATACGGGACTTCTGGGACACACTGTATAACGTAATCGATTCTAATCCAGTGATTAAACTTGAATAATAATCGAAAATTAATAAATATTTTATAATTTTCTGACACAGTTATATACGCATAATATCAACCGATTTTCAATTTTATTAGATAAATATAAATTTATTGACGTATCGAAGGGAGCAATTTTTAACCACTCAATTAATCTGTTTTTCACATATACAGATACATTCATCACTCTTGTCAGTGCCCCTGTATAAATATCCTCCTACTTTCACATACACCCTAGTACCCTACTACCCTAGGCACTACCACTAGGATACCTACCTACTCCTTTCTTTCTTAACATTTACCACAATAATTCCTCTCTAGTCTCTATCACAGTAGAATTCTATCATATGTCTTCTTCAAATCTATAAACACCATACACAAATTTCTTTTCTTCTTCCTGTACTTTTCCACAAATCACAATCAGTTAGTCAAATATTATTGAAATATCAATTCCATCAACGGATTTTCTGGTAAAAACCCAAATTGATTTCTAGAAATTGTAGTCTCGTTCCTTATTCTTTTTTAAAACAATTGCAA